TCCGGGTTCGTGTGATCCGTTCCACAAAAGGGTCGGTCATTGCTTTTCTTTGCTTTTCAGGTATGAATTTCCTAGAGCTATTACCTCGTTTACGTATTCTTGACTTCTATAGACTCATTTTCACTTTATCTCTTCTTACTATCTATACACTCAGTTCGATTGTTAGTGTCCTTTTGATCTGACTACTGGTAATAATAACACAACACAATAAATTCCAAAAGTTTCTATTAAATAGTGACCACGATTTCTTGTATGTTATCACGGCACAGCGTATTTATAACTTATTCACAATAATCGATTATTAGTCGTAAGATTTGAGAAGTAGCACAGTATGATGATATCAGTCAAATTAAAAGATAGTGTATTCACTACCCAATCAAGCACAAACTGTTGATTTAGAGCCAGATATAACAAAATAAGAAAATTTCTATGAAAAACGTATGTGTATTGTACTTTTAGTCGGTCGCAGTACAATAGTCGAACTTGTTTTATAAAGAAAGAGCTTTCCCTGCTTGGTGCTGCACCAAACAGACAAAACTTGAAGGCAGTAATTTTCTCAAGTGGGCGTATATTGCACCCACCGAGTCCTTTGTTACCTGTCTGCCTTCGGACTGCCCGAGCTAGACCTACTAAAATCCTCAGGGCAGTCACTTCTCTCAAAAACGTTTTAGGATTTCAATCCACACCAATGAGTTACAAACTCTAGATTTAGTGTCGCGAATATCCGAGTTTGGACCTGTTTTGTTTTGGTCTGGTCTTTTTTGAAAGGCAAGTTACCAGTGCAGTCACTGGTTCCTAGCCTGTCTCTTAATAACCTAACATCCCTCACTATTATTTTTTCTTCTGTTTACCTAAGTCCGTTAACAAAAATCATACCCCTCCGGGTTGACAAAAAACAGTACACCTCCGGATTGGCAAAAAACAAGACCCCTCCGGATTGAGACCCCTCCGGATAAGGAAAAATAAGACCCCTCCGGATTGGAACCCCTCCGAATCAGGAAAAATTTGGACCCCTCCTGATTGGGACCCCTCCGGTTTTGTAAAATTAGCTTTTCTGAGACTTCCTTGATTTTCAACCTATACCCCTCCGGATACGTTCTCCGATGCTTTTTTGCTGTTTGTATCAACTAGGAAGGGTATGTGATCCTTCCCTAAACCCTTTCGGATTGAAGTTAAGCCACTTATTTGACAATTCACGCTAACGGTGAAGGGTCTTATCGCTAGCCTAATTTCGGCTCTATCAAGTTTTTCTGGTGCCTTTAGCCTTCCCTATTCTTCTAGAACAGCGTAAAATTGCCTTATTCAACAGTTTCTACCCTTTGGTAGGGGTGTAATGGCTTTCCAGAAAATTTTTATAAAACGTGAGGGGTCTGGTGAAGGGGTCCGAATTGGTGAATTTGCTGAAAACAATCTCAAAAAATTTTCACGCTTATTTTTTCGAATAACTTTTGTTCCTATTAGTAAGCTCAACTAATTTCTAATCTAATGGTACCAAGATTAACTGGATCTGTCCAGTAATTCCAAAGTTATTAACTAAAACGTCTTTTTCTAAAGTCAAGAAATTTCTCTCTTATAGGTTCCGCCTAAATTTTTCCGCAATTTTGTTCTTTTCGACCTAAAAATTATTGATTCGAGCTCAAAAGGCCTATACTCTTCTAGATCAATGCAAAAAAAACCCGATCTAAAACGCTATATTTCAAAAAACTTACAAAAAACTATGCTATTTGGACCACTCCGGATTGATGAATCCACTGAATCAAACACGTTAAGTTCCATTTCTCTGTAACCCGGAAGGATTTCGGGAAGTGGGTTTTAGAACCTGTAGATTCACTAGTGGACGTTGTCCGAACAACTATTTTTACTGTCCTAACTCAAAAATTTCAAAAAATTTTCTGAATTTATAGTGTTTCGTTTTCTCAAAAATCGCGAAATTTCGGTCTTTGGTACCAAAATAGTCCAACCACTTCCGAACTAAACTTAACCGGTTCTACCTACAATAGTAGTGCAATTACGATGTAACACACTAATTTAACGCTTTTTTCCGTTTCAAAAAATATCGATATGTCAAAAATCGCGATTTTGTGGGGGGATCAAAATATCGCTATTTTGACCCTAAAAACCGGTCCGCTTACTGTGTTTTTCACTGAAAAACGATATAGGAGTATTAATATAGGCTATATAAGTAATAATATTAGTAATACTGTACCCCTCCGGGTTTGTTCAATATCCGAATTAAGGTGCTTAACTCGGATTTTCGCAGTTCGGTGAAGAGTCACTACAGTGCAGCACTGTCGAGCCCCCCACAGATTACTATCTTATTTTTTGTACCAAAAGGGATACAAAACTTGTTAACGATACCCAACAGTCGACTGTCGTTGTCGTTGAGCCCCTCCTTGTTGCTCCTTGAACTGCTTGCCGGATCAGTCTTCTACAAGACCCCTCCGGATTGAGCGCAAATCAGCAGACTTTTCCGGATTGAGCGCAAATTAGCATTAACGCGCTTAAATATTCAAACAACCCTACAGTACAAGCCTCACAAACGGGCTACAAAAATGATCGTAACGATCCTGGTTGATATAAATGCCTGTTACAACAATATATCTATCAACAAAAAACGGGAGAGTCGGATCACATCTTGTCTGGGGGGATGATTTCTACTGATTTTTTACTGTTTATTTTTTTTACTGTTTTTGGTTTTTTCGGTTATTTTTTATGTTTTTTGTTTTTCTTGGGTACTATATTACTTTTTGTTTGGTTTTATATCTATCTTTAAGTGTTTTTGGTCACGGACCACTCAGGAGATGACGGTACCGCGAATCCCCCCACCCTTCCTGGTTCGTGAATTTTCCGTCTTAACTAGGTTAAAAAGCTATTCACGATAATCCGGAAGGCTTCCGCGTTCCGAACTACCCTTCCGCCCCGGCGGTTAGGGCCTATTAAGGGCGTTATTATGAGCATCCCCTCGGCGCGGAGTGCTCGTTAACGGTTCTGCCGGTCATGATGTTAAAAAGCAATAAGAACTAAGAGCGCCATAAAAACATCTATGTAACATTCGCCCGGAAGTACATATCGACGGAAAATAAAGCTAGGTCCTAAGACGACTGGCCAACGTCTAAACAGAGCTTTATATGCTTTTCACCGTCTCTGTCAAAGCCAGTTCTTTTGGTGGTCTTTCTAACATCGGGTCGACAAAAACGTTACTGCTTTTTCCGCTTCCAAATAATCTGCAGTTTTGTCCATCCTGGTCGAATGTCACATGGCATATCTTGTCCATCCTGGAATTAATATTAAAAGGTTACGTGTCGTTCGCGTCCAAATCGAAATTTTGAAAATTAGCATGTCAGTCAAAACCAACCCTTTCCGATTCGTCTAATCGTTCAAATAAAGTCGCTAATCTGTTAAAACCATCAATCTTACAGGTTAGCTGTTCTTTTTCTGGTCGATAAAAATTCTGGTCGAATGTCACAAACATCTGAAAAAGTGTGGAGGCGGTCGCTTGAAGTCAGATTTGAGTTGGAAGATCATTGACCAGGCCAATAGCAATAATAAGTTGTTAACGTTAGAAGCGCTGCATGTTTGGAATGTTTTTCGATTTCTTCTTACCATTAGGGTTGAGAAGCACCGAACAGCTGACACACGTCGGGCAACATCTGAAAGAGTGTAGAGGCGATCATTTGAGTTCAGAATTAAGTTGGAAGATCATTAACCAGGCCAATGGCATTAATAAGTTGTTAACGGTAGAAGCGCTGCATATTTAGAATGTTTTTCGTTTTTGAAAAATTAATCTAAAAAACTTTCAGAAAGTCGAAAATTTTACTTACAAAATTTTCATAAGACCAATTTAAATGATGTGCATGAATGACCAAAAACAAAACATTGAGAACCAATGACCGAGCAAAAACTAAAGAGGCAAGAAGTAAGTCGACCAAAAATGGTCGAAGAGTCAAAAAGTTTCCAAAAAAAGCACCACGTCAATGGCCATTTATTTAGTGTGGCCATTATTTTTGTGCAGCGAAGACTCACAAATTGTTTTTTCGATTAAACAAGAACAAATTGGCAGTTGTTTTTGAGGAAAGGAAAAGTTTTCCTAAAAACGGTCAATTTTTTGACTTTTTCGAAAGCCAAATCTTCTTTTTTCTACCAAAAGTTTCCATTGCTTACATTGCTTTTTTGGCTTCATTTTCAAAAAAAAAATGAATTGTTTCTTTTTTTTTATTCAATATCTATTCAATATCTTTTTTCTATTCATTACAATTGAAAGCATGGCATATCTTGTTTTAATACCATGTTTTAAATTGTATCGCTCCGCTTTACCTCCGTGTTTACAAATTCAATTCGAAAACGAACATATCGAAACAAATAAAAAATGCAAAAATTTATACTTATAAAAATATAACGGACTATATAAAGAAACATTGTTTTCAAAAAGAGCAATTATTATATGGAAAACGGTTAAAAATGATAAAGTTAACTAACTTGTGGGAGATATTAACGTACAGACGACCGAAGATCCATCAGTTCATGGTTATGAAAAAAATGGTCACTCCTTTATGTTTTTGTCGTTTGATGTTATGAATGTTGAAATTATACTGTGTTAGTGTTAATAATAATAATAATATCTGACATACACTTGCATATTTGAAATTTTTTTCATTCTAGAATTAAAGTGTTTATTTTTTAAATTATTTTTGACCTTTTCATGATCTCTGATCATTCTGGAAAAAAAGTTTATGTTTTTGAATTGACGATGCATATTAACGTATATGAATTAGTTAAAGAGTTTCAAACGGTGTTGCCAATTGAATTTCATTTAGACTAGGCTACCTTTCGGTAGCGGCCTACAATGGGAATTCTTACCAGGTTGATGTTTTTGAAGCACAAAAGTATTTGCTTCGATTGTGCAAACCTCAGAATCGCATTAGTTAGCGTTCACACCCTTCAGCCCATTGCGAGCTGTCCTTGTTCCCCTTTCTTCATTGATTTTTTTTTGCTGCAGATTTAATGGTCTTAAGGCGAGTGTTCAGGCGATTTGTAAGCCATTCGGCTTATGTACAAGGGCAATTAATAGATGAGTCAGTGCGTGAATATTTCTACTATCTGGACCACCAGGGACAACTTTTTCTTGATGATGTGAAGTCGAAGAACTTTATAACTTGCTTTAAGGATCAGCAATTTTTGTCCTTTTTCTTCAGAATGCTGAAAAAAAATAAGTACGAGAGATACGATGAACATTTTCCATTTGTGTCTCTGTGCGGAAAAGAGCGAAATTTTTTACGATGTGATGATGTTCCAATTGTTTTTACTCACATTAAATGTGGCGATACTATATTAGAAAATCTGAATGACCTTGAGCCAAGTTCTGACTTCTATTTAATTCCAAACAATATTATAAAGCAAAATTTGTTGAATGTTCCTTTTAACCCCGCTGGCTTATGCATGCTTCCAAATTCTGGAAGATTGTACCATCCAAGCTCGGAACGGCATGGCGGAGTAGGACTAATAAAGTCATCACTTGCGATTGAATTAAGCAACCGGTTCATATATGATTCAAGTCAGCCTGAGATTGAGGTTGATCCCGGAAAAGGGCCAATTGCATTTGACTGGTTTGGAGAGCGAATTCGTTTGAATAATAGAATTCTTGATAAAATTAAAGAGACTGATGAAAGTTAGATGTATAAATATACTGAAATTAGTTGTTAGGTTGTTTGTACATAATATAGAGAAATACAAAACATGTTTTGATTGTTAGAGACTAGGTCGGATTGGATATAAAACGATCTGAGAATGCCTTTCTAACCTTAGTTAAATTCTTCGTAATAATACAAAATGAACTTATTTCAGATTGAAATGTCAGGGGAACGGAAAAGGTATGGCTTCACGCTTAGCAAAAATAACAAACCCATTCACGAGCTGCCTTCTTTTGAAGAAATAGACTCACAAGAGATCAACGTTGGCTACGCTGGAATCAAGGCCATGTCTTTCTTCTTTGCAAATTACTGCGACCGCGAAAGAAACGTGAGTTGATCGGTGTTCTTTCATCGATACTTCTTTACTTTTCTGACTTATAAGTTTTTGAAAAAAAAAGGAAGTTCGCAATTAAATTGTTTGTATCTATGATTACATCATTTAATTGACGTTTTCAATGACACATGTAAGAAGTCCCTATGTTAAAATGCTAAGATAATTCAACGTTTAAGAAGTTCACTGAAGTCAACGTTGTTAAAATATTCTAAACGAATGTTGCAGTAAGTTTATTGATCATACGAACAGTTCGATGTAAGTTTCCAAGGTTATATATGGTTTTTAGCATACGTCGATTGGAGGGCAAGTGCTTTGACTAAATTTTTCGTTTCAACGTTTAAATTCAAAAAAGTTAAAGGCGGAGTGAGTGGTGTCAGGGTTCGCCCAGGGGTTGCAAACTTGAACTTCAGTTAGAAGACTGACTATCTGACACCACCTCCAACACCCACCCGTTATCCGCCCTATGCTTTAATACACGAAGCCTCATTAATATAAATCGTAGAACTTCTTTCGCAAATTATATTCTCAAGAGCAATCATGACGTTATATGCCTAACCGAAACCTGGCTAACATCTGAGATAAGTGACTCTGAACTATTTCTTAATCAATACAATATTAACCGAACCGACTGTGAAATGAACGATCATGGTCACTCCAGTCATGGCGGCACTCTCATTGGAATAAAAAATGAACATAGTTCGGAACTAGTTCGCCTTCCTGATGAAATAGTCCACCATTGCACAGCTTGTACAGTCTCGTCCACTTCTGAAACCTTGCTATTTGTTTGTTGTTACTTTCCTCCTAGGACAAGTCCCTTTGCTATAGACCACCAATTCCTTGAACACTTCTTTATTTATCTTGAAAGTGTCTTCCCTTTATATTCAAACGTGGTTATATGTGAGGACTTCAACTTTGATATTGACTGGCGTGATTATTCTTCTACATTTCCCGACGAACAAAGATTCATTACTGGCATTGAAAAACTAAATCTCACCCAATCTGTTCAGTTTCCTACAACACGTGAAAAAACGTTAGATTTGGTTTTGGTGTCGCCTAGCACAGATGTTCTTGACATCAAACCTGTAACAGACAACATTAGTAAATTGTCAGATCATATACCTGTCGCCTTTGTTATATCTCCAGTTCTTTACTCGCCTAAGCGTACAACACCCGGAAAAGTTTTCAGCTACACCAAAGCTAATTATGAAGCTATGAGGCTCCAGATATCGCGAAATCCCTTCACAGGTCACTGTTGGTCAAACCCTAATGTTTTACTCTCGGAATGGTATGACTGGTTACAGCATATAATCTCCAAAACTGTCCCCATTCGAACGAAGCACCGCAGTGAGCTGCCTCCATGGATCACATCCTCAACATCGAACGAGATAAAGCGTTTGCATACTTTTGAGAAAAAGTTTGGTCGATCGAATCCGAAAACTACTAAACAGAATGAAAAGGTTACAGTCTTGACAGGAAAAGACAAGGAAAACTATGAGAATGAACTAGCCAGCAACAGGAGTAAAAATCAGCTTTTCAAGTATTTTCGAACATTTAAGACAACGACCATACCGTCATACGTTTATCTAGATAAACTATGTGCTTACTCAGATCAGTCTAAGGCTGATCTATTTGCTTCCTTCTTCTCTAGCGTGTTCATCTTATCATCATCATTAGATGATGAGGACTCAATTCAAAGCTACCAATTTTTAGCGCACGAATATCAAATCATTGAAACCTTTGATACTTCGGAAGAATCTATTCTTGAGATTTGCCTTGACCTCAACGTAACTAAGTCACGTGGACCCGACAATCTACCCCCAGCGCTGTTCAAAAATGTCGCCAGTGCACTATGCCACTCCCTGAGTCAAATTTTCAATAAGATCAAACAGACATGTGTCTTCCCACAGCAATGGAAAACCGCAATAGTAACACCAATTCACAAGAAAGGTGACAAGCGAAATGTAACCAACTGTAGACCCATTTCTCTTCTTGATATATCTTCCAAGATCCTCGAACGATGCATGTTTCGAAGTCTATACAATCATTTCAAGCCCTTGATACACAATGCACAATTTGGTTTTCGGAAAGGAAGATCTGTCGAAATTCAACTTTTGATATATCTCGATCACCTTTACAAAGAAATTGAGTATGAAAATTCCATTGATGTTATTTACACCGATTTTGAGAAAGCGTTCGATAAAGTGGACCACGGGATATTGTTATTCAAACTTCTTCAATATGGTGTACGTGGAAAATTTCTCAAATTGATCAAATCATATTTGAACAACCGCTCTCAGAGAATTAAAGTAGGAGACAAAATATCTGGCCCAATCGAAGTAACTAGCGGGGTTCCGCAAGGATCAGTACTTGGAGCTTTACTATTCCTGTTTTTCATTAATGACTTGCCATCAACGTGCGCTGACTCGAAGCCTCTTTTACTAGCTGACGACTCCAAGTTTATTCGGACTAATAGTTCGACTTCTTTCCAGTCTGAACTTTCTCTAATTTATAATTGGAGTGTTGCTAATAAAATGCCCTTCAACTTCGCAAAATGTACTCACATCCATTTTGGTAAAAACAACGATACTGCATATGACTTCAACGGCGAAGTGATTCCTCGAACAGATGTTCAAAAAGATCTTGGTATTCTTGTTCGTAGCGATCTTAAATGGAACAATCATTTCAAAGCAGTTGCCGCAAAATCCATCAAAGTTCTCCACATGCTCAAAAGAAACACGTCGAGTCTGTCAGTTTACAGCAAACTCAACCTCTACAAAAGCATGGTTGTTCCATCCTTGCTGTTTGGATCAAATTGTTGCGCCTTATCTAAGACAAACATATCAGTTCTAGAGAACGTACAGAAAAAATTCTGTAAGTGGTGTCTCCCTCACATGAGCTACACCAGTGCTCTAACCTTCCTAAACATTCTTCCAGTTGCTTATTACATCCAACTGAACACCTTTTTACTTCTGCGGAAAATTGTGACTGATTACTTCGATTGCAACTTCAGCGAGCATATTCAATTCTTCCATTCACCTCAGGACTCACGGGAAGGGCCTTCGCAAGGGTTTTCCCTGCAAGAACCTACCCAAACGAGACCTCGAGTATTGCGACATGGTCCTATAGTCAGTTTTACCAGCATTAGGCCCTTGAAAAGTTTATGTGAGCAAAATTTTTGGTTCCAAGCTACTAGAACAGCAAATCGCTTACCCGATGACATTGATATTTTCTCCTCCACCCTGAAATCGGACTTGTTGAAATGGTTCTGGGAATACTTCCATGCGTTTTACAATGAAAGCAATTCTTGCTCCTGGGTTACCTTTTGTGACTGCAATCGAAACAACTGTAGACTCGTTTTTAACAGAAATACCTTTGGGGGAAACCCCTTGTGATTTATCACTAAATCCAATATAATAATAATAATAATAATAATAATAATAATAATAATAATAATAAATCCTAATGTTAAAAACTGTCAGGGTACTCAGCTGAATCGCAAACCTGGTCGCTAAATATGGCTGCTGAATTCTGTTCCGTTTCCGAGGTATACCTCAGTTGAACAAGAACCTCATTTATAAAAAAAACTCTAAAAAGTAGCAATTCATTTTTCATTACGCTTGTGATTAGCAATCGTTATCAAATCGTAATAGACTTTTTTCTAGTTAACAACTAGTTTGACAAAATCATTTGAATCACTTCTCAATTTCAGCTGACATGCTCAATGCTGCTAACGTGCTCAACTTCATGAAATGTCAAATGCAGCTGACATGCTCCATTTCAAAAAAAACTCAATTTTAATCACTGTGTGGGTACTAGTTACTACAGGGCATTTTCAGGGGAATTTGAAACTTATTAAAGTGATTTACAAAATGATTTACAGCTCAACTGGCGTCTGCTCAAAAATTGTCGGCCTTGTTTTGGCTTCGTAAGTTTTGTTCAGTTGCTTATTTGAATTTAAAATTTCTTGCGTGGCATGTTTGCCTAGATCTCTTGTTCGATAAAAATAGGCTGTATAAAAATGTATGGGATTGGGCTTTGGAATTATTTATAATTTTTTTTCTATAAAAAACTACCGTTTTCAAAAAGGGGTGTGCAAAGAAAGACCGCCTACAGCCTTGTAAGACCTCATCTATAGGTTTAAAACATAGGGTAGGTGTAGGTACAATTTTTTACCGCAGTAGGCTGGGAGATTACAATTTTTACACAAAATTTAATGTTTTTTTTTTGAAGGATTTAGTTTATTTGACTGAAAGGCTCGATTATTTTGTAGCCAGATCATGCGTGTTGCTTTAAAAGCCACCCACTGCGGCGTTGCTCCTGGAGCATATTGAAGTGATTTACCTTTCTGCTTTTTGTTTTATTGAACTATTGATAAAAAAGTCAACTGTTCGATCGCTTTTTTCCTTGAATTTATTTAAATTGTTAGATGCTAATAGCTGTCATTTTGGAATTCCCTTCTGCAATTTAAAAAAGAAGCTTCACATCTTTGTATTCTAGGAGGAATTGCTTTTGAAACAGTTTTTTCCGAGTATCTCGAGAATGTTTTTTTTATTTGTTTTAGATATGGTTGTTTTTAGGGACTTTGGCTGCTTCAGCAAACGGCTCTTGGTTATCAAAGCGTATCTGAAAGAATTTTTTTGTTTCAACCAGTTGAAAAAAAGGAGGAGTTTTATATTCCTGTGTTTTTTTAGGTTTTTGTTTTCAACGCAAAATCAGGTATCCCTAAGACTTATTGAAATTGGCTGAGTAATTCATCACATTAAAGCTCTTGATTTGGACGAAATATAAAAGTTTGCAAAAAGTTGTCCTAGTATTGAGAGAAACAGGTTTGAAATTTTTTGATTCTGTCTTAGTTTGCAGAACGCAGCCATTGGTACCGCTCGTCGCTGCGCTCCCGGTTGAAATGTAAGTTTTTGCATACTTATCACCCCCGCTCGTAAGAAAGTGCAATTTTATACATTTCCTCCGGGGTTTTCGTGGCCCTACATAACTCG